TTTGCCGCCGTCCGCCGCGATGCAAGCGGGGTCCCATAAGAGCGCGGGGCCCCCGCCCCACTTCCTGGCATTCCTGGGCGCCAGCGCTGCGCGGGCCGCCCCCTCGAAGCCCCCGTCGACGCTCGCCTCCGCGACCGCGTCGACAGCTTCCTTGATCTCGGCGCCCTGCTCCTCCTCGACGCCCCCCCTCCTCGTCGCCCTCCTCGCCGCCCCCGCCCTTCGATTCAAAAGGTCGCGCGGGGTGCGTGGCAGACCCGGTAAGCGGCAATGAGGGCGCGCGGTGAGACCCGCGGCGATTGGCGGCGCGACATCGGCGAGATTGGCGGTGTAGCATCGGTAGGACGGGCATGCGCAGGATAGGGGACAGGCTGCAGGACGTCGCCGGTCTGCTCCTGCACCTCGTTGCCGCCGTCCGCCGCGACGCGGGCAAGGCCCCGGGAGAGCGCCCGCCCCGCTCCCTTGCGTCGCCGGGCGCCAACGCTGCGCGGACTACCGCCTCGACCCCCCGTCGGCGCCCGCCTCCGCGACCGCGTCGACGGCCGCCTTCGTGTCGGCGCCCCCCTCCTCCCTCCTCCGCGGCCGCCCCCTCGTTGCCCTCCTCGCCGCCTGCGCCCCCTGGTTCGAAGATCGCGCGTGGCATGCGGCCAACCTGATGAGCGGCGATAAGGGCGTGTGGCAGACAGAGCATTCCCCCGTCGGCCGCGAGGCGCCGGGCGCTCTCCGCGACCTCGCCCGCCATGTCGTCGACGCCCCCGTGCGCCCCGTGCCCTCCTCGACCGCGCCGGCGCTGCCGGGGCCAGCTGCCCCCGTCGGCAAGGGCGGATGATCGGTCGGGGGTGCTGCAACAGATGATGGGTCGGGGGTGCTGCCCGCCCATTGATCGGGGCGTCGTGGGGCGATGGGTCGGGGGCGCTAGGGCCCCAGTTTCAAACCGAGCGGCTCGAGCGTCTCTTCGACAGGCGACAAGAGCCGGCCGCCGCTGCCTCTGCCCGCCCGTCTCGCGCATGCTGATCGGGGTGCAGTCGCTGAGCGGCGCCGGAGCTCGCTGCCGCTGCCCCTGCCAGTCCTTCTCGCGCGCGCTGGTCGGGGCGCCGTGGCAGATGATGGTCGGGTCAAGCTTCGCTTCCAGCATCTCGCCGAGCAGCGCTAGGCTCGGCGCCCGCCGCCGCTGTCCGCCCGTCTCGCGCGCGCGGATCGGGGCGCGGTTGCAGATGATGGCGGGCTCCAGTTTAACGCTCGGCATCTCGCCGAGCAGCGCTGGGGTCGGCCGCCGCTGCCCCTGCCCGTCCTTCTCGCGCGCGCTGACTGGGCAGGGGCAGATGAGATCGCGGGCGCCAGCTTTGCTCCAACCATCTCTCGGAGTAGCGCTAGGGCCGGCTGCCGCTGCCCCTGCCAGTCCTTCTCGCGCGCGCTCGATAGAGTAGAGCAAGATGATGGGCTCCGCTTGTGTGCCCAGCAAGTCATTTTGCACGTTCGTTTTTTGCGCGGGCTGATCGGGGTGCTGTAGCGGATGATGGCGGGGTCCGGCATCGCTCGCAACATCTCGCCCTGCCTGCGCGCGCTGATCTGGATTCCGGAATGGACGATGGCGGGCTCTGGCTTCGCTCCAAACATCTATCGGGGCGGCGAGGGGGCCGGCTGCCGCTGCACCTGCCAGTGCTTCTCGCGCGCACTGATTAGGGCGATGTAGCGGATGATGGCGGGCTCCAGCTTCGCGGCCAGAATCCTGCTGCGCGCGTTCGTCCAGCGTGCGCACGTCGGGGTGCTGCATCAGATGATGTAGCCGAGGTGATGATAGGTTCCAGCTGCGCTCCCAACGTCTCGCTGAGAAGCGGCAGGGCCGGCCGCCCCTGCCCTTGCCGGTCCTTCTCGCGCGCGGCGGTCAGGGTGCTGGAATGCACGGTGGTGATCGGCTCTGGCATCTCCCAAAATGTCCCGAAGCAGCGCCGGGGTCAGCTGGCACTGCCCCTGCCGGTTCTTCTCGCGTGCGCTGAGCGGGGCGCTGTAGCAGACGGATATGATGGCGGGCTCCAACTTCGCTCCCCGGGTCTCTCGGAATGGTGCCAGGATCGGCTGCCGCTGCTCCTGCCAGTCCTTCTCGCCGGACCAGGGCGCTGTGCCGCATGATGGTGGGCTCTGGCTTCGCACCCAGTATCTCGTTTATCAGCGCCAGGACTGGCTGCTGCTGCTCCTGCCAAACATTCTCGCACGCGGTGGTCGGGGTGCTTATGATGGGATCTGCCTCGCTCCCAAAGTATTCCGGAGCAGGGCAGGGACTGGCTGCCACTGCCCCTGCCATTCTTTCTCGCACGCAAAGGTCGGGGTGCTGGAGCAGCTGATGGCGCGCTCCAGCATCGCTCCCACCATATCTCGGGGCAGCGAAAAAGGCCGACTGTCACTGCCCCTGCCAATCCTTCTCGCGCGCATTGGTCGGGGTGGTGTTGCTGGAATTCGTCGCGGTTCTCACGGTCGTGTTGGTGATGTCCATCGTGCTGTTCACGAAAGTGCGGCCGGCTGGAGTCCGTCATGCTGCAGACGATCCTGTTGGTGGAATTCCTCATGCTGCTCACGTTCGTCGTGCTGGGGCCCGTCATGATACTCGCGGTCGTGTTGCTGGAACCCGTCGTGCCGCTTGAGCTCCAGCAGCTGGAATCCATGCTCCATGTCAGGTGGCGCGCTCGGCCGGGCCGCCGCGCGGGCCGCAACTGCCGCCGCGTGGGCGAGGGCGGCCGTTGCCGCCCGGAGCCCGGCAGCGGCCGCCGCCGCAACGGCGTCCGCGGCGGCGGAAGCGGCGCCAGCACCACACAACATTGATTTCACAATCAGAAAACAACAGCATGTATTGCACCACGTAGGTGGCACAACATATACTCCGCATCCACTTTTCCACCACAGAGATTGCCCAACCTAGCAAGCACAACGCTTGTTGCACAACATACTAAACACCATGTATATTGCACGGCGCAGCTTGCCCCACATACGTTGCACACCATGAGCTGCTAGAATCACACTGTTTGGGATCAGCGCTGGCTGGCAATCTGTTAACATTAATCGTTTCGCTCACTCCGCCGACCCATGTTGTATCATTGGTGTTATTTGTTGACGCAAAGGGTGGGGGAGGAGAAAAAAGGAAAAAGGACGGGTTGATGAGACGATGGGGGCCCTCTCGGGGGGTGTTTCTGGGGCCTCCTGGGGCGTCAAAGGAGCCTCTTGGGGGCCTCTTGCGGGTCTCTTGGGGCCTCTTCGAGGCTTTTTGGGGGCCTCCAAGAGCCTTCGGGTCCCCCGCCCGGGCCCGCTGTTGGAGCCGTCTTGGGAGCCGCCGCGGCCATCGTTCAGGCCTCTGGGGCTGTCTTAGGGCCCTCTGGGCGTTTCTGGCGATTTTGGAGGTCTGTTGGGCCGCGCTGGGGCGATCCTGGAAGCCTCTCGGGTCGTCTTGGAACACCAATAAATTGAAAAGGCGAAGCAACGCCCCAAATCCCTCAAACATCAGAAGGGAGATCGCAAATTTCCGTGGGACCACTTGGGAGGTCTCTGTGATGCCTCTCGGGCCGTCTTGGAGGCGTTTTGGGCCGGGAGGCCATCTAGGGCGTCTTGGATCGCTCTTGGAAAATTTCGGACCATGTTGAGCTGTCTTGGAGGCCACTTGGAGCGTTCCTGGAGCGCTCGTAGGACACTGCTGGGACCTGGCTAGGACCTTCCTGGGCCTTTGCCGGGGTACTTATCGTCCGGGAACCTCCAGGGGCGGCCCCGCGCGCACAAACTGGGAATACTGTTAACCAACTGCCAGAGATCTTAGTACGCCCTTGGCCCGTTGGGCCGGCGAGTTGCATTTTAATGCGTTGTGACCTGCTATGGTATGTCATGCGTCATGACATATCTATGAATACAGATACACGCATATGCACATACATACACACACATATATATATATATATATATATATATATATATATATATGTATATATGTATATGTATATGTATATATATGTATATATATATATGTACATCGGGAGTGTGGGGGGTGAGATCGAAGTGAAACGGAGAGCCCCCCTAGAGAGCCCCCCCGACCGGGAAATCGGTTTCGGTTTCGTGTTCGTGCGTGCCGTGCGTGCGGGCGAGGCGAAGCTGCGTGGGCGGGCGAGAAATAAGTCTCCTGTAGCTGAGCCGCGGCCGGATCAAAAGTCTCCGTTCCGGCAACCAGTGCCCCGCGGTGTCCCGCCGGTGTCCCGCTCGGGGGCCGGTGGCGCGCGGTGTCCCGCCGGTGTCCCGCCGGTGTCCCGTCGGTGTCCCGAGGATGATGATGTTGATGGTGTTCACGATGATGATGATGATGATGATGATGATGGTGATGGTGATGGTGGTGATGATGGTGCCCCGAGGATGATGATGATGATGATGATGGTGATAATGATGATGTTGACGGTGATGATGATGATGATGATGCTGGTGATGGTGGTGATGATGGTGGTGTCTCGATGATGATGATGTTGCTGATAATGATGATGGTGCCCCGATGATGATGATGTTGATGATCCTGACGCTGATAAAATGATTTGATGATGATGAAGATGATGATGGTGTTCCGATGATGATGATGGTGAGGTGGATGATGATGCGGTTGATGATGGTGGTTATGATGATGGTGCCCCGGTGATGATAATGATGCTGATGAAAATGCTGGTGTCCCGATGATGATGATGATGATGTTGATAATGAGGATGATGATGAGGTGATGATGATGACTTTGAGGATGGTGTCCCAATGATGGTGATGATGCTGATGTTGATGATGGTGGTGTCCCGATGATGTTGTTGATGGTAATGCTGATGCTGACGATGATGGTCTTCCGATGATGATGTGCATGCTGATGTTGCTAATGCTGCTAATGATGATGATGGTAATGATGATGATGATGCTGATGATGATGATGTTGATGATGATGATGATTGTGGTGTCCCGATGATGATGGGGATGTTGATGATGATGTTGCTCATGATCGTGATGATGATTCCATTCCATTCCATTGCGCTGGGGCGGTGCCTGAAAGCTGCGACACAATACATGCCACCGCCTGCGCGGGTTACAGTCACCCTACCGATCTCTGTCACTTGAGCGGCCGCTGGCGTGAACCACACGCTCGGGCCTAAAGCACCCCTTGGGGGGACGCCCCAGTCGGGGGCTCCTTTGGCACTCATGCGCCTGCCAAAAAGGTCAGAAAATACGACAGGAAAAAAACTGTTGAATTTCAGATGGCACTCGACTGTGCCGTCTAGCTCACACTGTGCAGCTGGCGCCAATAATTTATCCCCGAGACCAGCATTCAGATCAAGCCGGGGACCGACAAGCAGCCAAGACCCCGAGGCTACGAGACGGAGCCCAGAACAAGGGAGGGGGGAAATACTGTACAAAACGACCGTTTTGTACAGTATTTCCCCCCTCCCCTGTTTTGGACCCGCACGCGGCCCCAGGGGAGAGAGGGAGAGACAGAAAGCCACACAGCATCTCCCACACAGGGAGGATACAGCGTGGCTAACCGCCTCTCCCCCAGGCACCTGTCAGTCAAGAGAGGGCCGGGGAGATGCAGCATAGCAGTGAACGGTGCAGAAGAAACCCAGTTCCTATCGAGACGCTTTTTCCCAATAAAAAATTAAGAGCGGCTTGCCCTACCCCGGCCGCGGCCCCTCGCCTTGGCCGAAGGTTCTAGGTGCTGACGCCTGCTCCTTGGCTTCGGTTTTGGCTCAGCACGTGGAACGACCCAGTAATCAGACTCCCACCGTCGCTGAACGTGTGCAGGGATTGTGTGCCCCTCCTCCAGCAGAGCCCTCAGTCGCGTCGAATTCCTCATTTCTGGAGGCGCGAAATCAATCGGGCTGCCTCCCGCTCTAGCTCTCCGCGAGGCGCTGCTCCCATGGCCACCTCGGCCCCGGCCGCCCTCATCTCGTCGAGGAACCACGTCTCTAGCGTCCTGCCGATCTCCGAGCTCGCCGAGAAGGCGAACACGAACTTGACCTTGTCCTTCATCCTCTTGCTCTTCGTGCCCCTCGGCTTGATGACACGGAAGTAACGCACGTGCATGGACAGCGCCGCTTGCGTGCCCCCCTTGACTTTGTCCAGCCAAAACTCCTTGGCCTCCTTCTGGCGGTCCATCGGCGCGCTGACCGACACCGCCGAGTGAGATGCCAGCGCCGCCAACACCATCGCGAAGACCAGAAGATGCGGGGGGCCCGGGCTCGCCATGTCCACCTCCTCCCCTCCAGCCTTCTTCTCCTTGAGCTCCTCTACCTGCTTGTTGTAGCGCTCCCCCGCCTCCAAGCCCGCGAGGGTGATGAAGTGCGCGTCGCTCAGCAGGAACGTGTTGTACACTACGCCGCACAGGTTGGCCAGCTCCCTCGAATTGATCATGGTGAGCCTCGCGAGAATGACGACGAGCTGCTTGAGGTCGTCCTTCCCCTTGGCTCCCTTGGCGACGTCCGTCGCCTCCTGGGCTAGCGCGGCCTCGGCCTTGCGCTTCTTGCCGTCGGCGGCGCCCCCCACGGCCGCGTCCGCCTTCAGCAGGCTCCCGAACCAGGCCCCGCCCTCGCCCTCGCCGCCGAGGTCCGCCATCATCGCGTCGAAGTCCATGGCCCCGGAGACGGCGCCGCTGCACCGGCAGGAAAGGGAGGTGGGTCAGGGCGTGGTCCTGAAAGGAGGGAAGGTCGTCAGCCTCGAAATCGCAAAGCTTGCACCTCAATGACTGCGGGTCAGCTAACTTCGAAATGTTAGTGGCTTTTCCAACGCAACACCGACGATGACGAAGGGCCCCCGCGAGGTGGCGACACGCCACGGTGCGATCCCAGAAGACATCCCGGCACACGATGCATTGGTTGGTGACCGTCAGGGCGCACGACAGACGAGTAGCCCCGTGAACTTTACGTAAATGGTTACCTAGAGCCTTCTCTGTGCTGAAGGACGCGTTACACACCCCATGCTCATCCGACCACCAACACATGTGGGACCTTTCTATCTCTAGTGCCGACGCTTCCTCCGAGGCCGCCGCGACGCCCTCGATAGACGGTCCGACGGCCGCCGAGGTCGCTGCCGCCCTCAGAACCGACGCATCCACCGCCAAGAACCTGTCCTGCCATTCCTCCTCAAACAGCCTGCCCAGTGACCCCTCCACGTCCCTCCAGAGCTCCCCCATGTCCTCGGAAACACTTGCCAGAGACTCGAGGTCGGACTGGAACCTCAGTGCCCAGGGGTTCGCTGTGGGGAGGACCTGACCTAGCTCGTTCAAGGGCCGCGTGTCCTCGAAGGGGGCCTGACCGAAAACCGCAGCGAGGACCTGCAAGTGGTCTTCCGGGGCTCTGGCGCACTTTTGAAGCCATCCAACGCGCCTCACCATGAGCTCGACCGTCACCGTGGGCAGCTTCCAATACTTCAGAACCTCAGACGACGACATGGATCGGACTTCCCCCGGGGCTTTCTCCCAAGACGCCGCCCCCCGCATCGTTCTCCTCGCAAGCCCAGCCAGCGCTAGATCCAGACGACGAGCTTGCGAAACGCTGGGTAGAAAAGTTTCCGCGGCCGAGACCAGGGCGCCAACGACCCGGCACTGCAGGGCGCACCTCTTCCACTTCATAGGAACTCCTTTCTTTGTCCAGAACCGCCCCAAACTGAAATAGCTTTTTTTGGCGGCCTGGATCCTACGGAGCATCTCTGGGGTGAAAGACTGGTTGGCGGTCAGGTGGGGGCCCAAATACCTCGTGGAGTCCTCGACGGAGTTTCCGAGCTCACGAAGAAGGCGGGCCGCCCCCCTCATGTGCGACGCGGGGACCGCCACGATCGATTCCTTTTTCGACACGTTCTGAACGTACCCGGCAGGGGCCAGAGATGAATCGAGGAGATGGTCGCATAACAATACCTTTGACCGAAGCCGCTCTTGATCGTATACCTGACCTATGATGATCTTTTTCAAGTTGTCGTCTGCAAACTTGTGTGCTCCCACGTAAACGTCACACTCCTTACTTCCCAACTCGCAGTGAAAATTGAGTAGATGATCCAGATCGTCCTCCGCGAAATACCGAGCGATCCACGCTTCTGATGGATCACGAATGGACGCCACGAAGGACTTGACAATGAAAGGGTCGCCCATCATCCCCCCGCACCGGTTCTTGAGCAACATGGGGCTAGAAGCCGTGGGCATAAAACAGGTGGCCAACCGGTACCGCTGGAAACCGAACTTCAAACTCTCCTCGGGCACCATCTCCCTCGTAGCTGCATCTAACGCCTGCCACGCCGTGCTGCCGAAAGCATTCGATACGTCCCGCAGAAGATCCACCCAGTAGAAGCCTGCAGCCGTAAGGCGATGGCCCACAACCATAGTCGACATTATGGCATCTTCTCGCCGCCGATTTTGGAGGAACCCGTGGTCCAGAACGCTTTTTCTGACGGGCATAGACGAAATGTGCGAGAAGAATGCTTTCCCCATCGGGTCCAGGCCATGCACCACCCGCCGCCCCTTTGGGCCAGCCTCATTGGATTTGAACAGCGGGTAACCTTGCGAACAGTTCCAAAGCAAAGGGACCGTCTGAGACACGCGAACTTGGTAGAAGAGGTGCTTGATGCAATCAGCTGCTGCCGCGGAGCTTCGCACAGGCTCTTCCGCACCCAAACCGCGACGATGTGATCTAGGCTTTCGTGCGGCACCCAATGCTAAGGACCAGAGCTCCACTGGGCAGGCCCAATGCGGCACGCCTTTTCGCTTCGGCGCGCGCCTCAGATACCGGAGGAAAGCTTCGACGTCTCGTCCAGCGAGTTGCCACGGAGAGCGATCAGTGGGAAAGTGACCCTGCTGTCGACACCATTGCGCACGCATGCCCAGGAGGCGATCCCAGTCGCATTCGTATGCCTGCATGCCGCCCTCGGCGCCAGAGAGAGACCACACCTGCAGCCATTCTCGAGCCGTCGGCAGCTCACCGTCGATTACAGAAAAGTTTTTTCTGATGGCTCCAGTAGAGACTCCTGCCAGGGCCGCTGAGAGGCGATGCACTAAAGCAAAATCTCTGCCTTTCCACGCTTCCCAAATATCATCCACCAGCTGATCTTGTTGAGCCTGGTATTGTCGTCGTCTGGTAGCCTTCAAACTTTTCGTAACTGCCTTGAGCTGCGCCGTGACCCGCGCAGTATGGTCCTCATCCGGTGCGTCAGGGAGCAGAAGGCGGAGGTCGCGACGGTGTCGCAGAAGTCGAATCCTTTCCTCTGTGTCTCTCCGCTGTTGTGCATTCGCTTTAGGTGCACCTTTCTCGAAATACTTCTTTCCGCACTCCTGCAAGACTGCATTTATGAAGTTCGCCAGCTCGTCCGGGGTATCATTATTGAGACATGTCTGCCACTCAGCGGCGCGATCCTGCAACACGTGTTCAAGATCTGTCACAAACGCCTCATGCTGATCCCCCCCGCGAATACCTGCCATCAGTTTTTCTTTGTCCCATTGCACTGGCACGCGAAATTGTCCATCTGGTCCCTGCACCTGCCGATCTGTCGCCGGCTCTGCCCGCACCCATTCCTCCCACGCCACGTGCAGAGGCACGTGGTCCTTCACCGCTCGGGTGTTGATAGCTTGTAGCTTTCTCCCCAATGTCGTCAGAATGCCAACCGATTTGATTTGTCTGAGCTGTATGAGTGGCAGCGCGATGGCGTCGATCATGGACGAGGCGCCGGCGTTGCCGTAGAAGGTGGGCTGCTCCGCACGAAAGGAATTTACCATACCCAAGCCCCCTTCCTCGAGTATTTCTCGGAAGCACTGGCCTGCCCCTCCGACGTATTGCTCTCTGTGAACAGTAGCCCCGAGCGAAGAAGTAGAAACTGTTTTCCAAGAACCGGAACTTTTGGAAATACCCACCCCATCATTTACATCACTCAAAATACATGGTGCGGTGCGCGATGGGCATGCCCGTAATACGTCCAAGGCCCATTCTTTCAGTTTCCGGCAGGTGGTCAAATACCTCGAAACTTCTTTCCCATTTCTCGGCCTCGGGGGAAAATACAAGCACATCACCAATCGTCTGATACTACCATGTGCTGCCACCACTGCTAAAGCGCGCCCACGAAGGTCGCGTTGGGGCACCAACACCTTTGTGATCGCCTTCCTCCCCCACCCCTGCGGAATGAAGATCGCGCAGCCGGCACTGCTGTTGGTGAAGCGGCCCTGCTTGTGGAAGCCGCTGCTCACATAGAACGGTGTTCCGATGATGATGGTGACGGTGTTCCGATGATGATGGTGTCCCGATGATGATTACTTGATGATAATGCTGGTGGCGATTATGGTCTCCCGATGATGATGATGTTGATGATGATGGTGATGAGGTGATGATGATGGTGTCCCGATGAAGCTTATGATGATGATGAGGATGATGATGATGATGACGCTGATGTTGATATTGGTGATGGCGTTGATTGTGATATCGATTGTGATATCGATAGTGAAATCGATCGAGCGAGACCGATAGTGAGATCGATCGTGAGACCGATCGAGTGAGACGTTGGTTCCTCCCCCCCGAACCTCCTTGTCACCCGCATGGTGATCGTATAGTATATATATATATATATACATATATTCTTTCATCGGCGGCGCGTTTCGACCCCCCCCAACACTCGGCGCCGTTGACTAAAACCAAGGGGACTACCCTCTCCCCAACCCCCCCCTCCCGAACCCCCGCCCCCCCTCCCAAGGGGAGGGGGGGTTCAAAACCCACCCGCCCCTCGGCGCCGGCGCCGGCGCTGGCGCTGGCGGCCGCCAGCAGCGCCCACGGCGGGGACGCAGCGACGTGGACCACAGGCAGCCCAATGGGGGTGGGCCCCCTCCCCTTGGCGCCGGGGGGGGGCGGGTTCAACCCCCCCCCCCCTGCCCCCACCTTGCGCCGGCGCCGACGCTGGCGGCGGCCAGCAGCGCCGGCGCTGGCGCCGGCGAAGCAGCGCCGGCGCTGGCGCCAGCGACGGCGGGGACGCAGCGACGATTACCACAACTACCACCACCACCACCACTACCACCACCACCACCGCCCCAACCCACCACCACCACCGCCACCAACAGCACCACACAACCACCACAACTCACCATCACCACCACCACCACCACCACAAAAATCCACCACCACTACCACCACTACCACCACAATCTACCACACCACCACCACCACCGCCGCAACCACCACTACTACCAGCAGCACAACCCACCGCCTCCAACACAAACCACCACACCACCACCACCACCGCCACCACCACTCCCACCACAACAAACGCCCACAAACAACCGCCACCACCATAACCCACCACCACCACCACCACCACAAACCACCACCACACCACCACTTCGTCACCACAACCAACACCACCACCACAACTCACCATCACCACCACCACCACAAAACCCCACCACCATTACCACCACCACCACCACAATCTACCACATCACCACCACCGCCACATCCACCACCACGACCAGCAGCACAACCCACCGCCACCACCGCAAACCACCACGCCACCACCACCACCGCCACCACCACCAGCACCACCTCCACAAACCACCGCCATAACCACAACCCACCACCACCACCACAAACCACCACCACACAACCACCAAACCACCACCACCACCACCACAACCCACCGCCACCACCACCACCACCACAAACCACCACCACACCACCACCAAACCACAACCACCACCACCCACCGACGCACCCACCACCACCACCATAACAAACCACCACACCACCACCACCGCCACCACCGTCGTCCTCGTCGACGCTCCCCGCCACCGCCGCCCGCCGCCGCAGACGCCGGCGCCGGCCCAGAAATGGAAA